CAGCTTATATAAATAATGGAGAGACTCAGTGTAAAGAAGAAAGATTTGCTGGAGTTCTGATAGCTGACAATTCTTTGAGGGGTTCCTTCTGGAAAAGTGATTTGATTCCTTCTCAGTGCCATCACAATACAAAAGGAAAAAACAGACTGAACAAAGAAACTTCCTGTGATGATGGAAAGGTTTTATAGCTGTGTAGTTTAATAGCTACTGCCAGAAAGAGACTTTCTTTTTAGCAATTAAAAAGTGATTACTTAATTTTAAGATTTAATTTTAACTAATGAAAATTTAAATAGTAAAATGTGGCTACTATATTGGACAGTGCAACTCAGGAGGGTAAGTAAAAACAAGAATAGATCGAGGTTCCTGATTTTTCTTATCAGGGATAAGATAACACTTTTGGGGCTTTGCAGGCTAAATGGTATCTGCTTCTGCAAGTGAACTCTGTCTCTGTAGTGTCTGAGTATAGACAACACTGCAAAAGGATGCGTGTGGGGCCCAAGACATAGCTTGCAAGATAAAAACTTACCTGAGGTTCCATCTCTAGCACTACAAGTTTTCCCTGCCCCCGCATTGCACGGGTGTAGCGTAGCCTTGGTCATCCAAAAGCACCAGTAGCTTGTGTGGGACCAAGAAGAGCCAGAAGTGGCTTGCCCCAGACCCCTAAGCACTGCGTGTGTGTGTGTGTGTGTGTGTGTTTGTATGTATGTATGTATGTATCTATCTCTCTCTCTCTCTCTCTCTCTATATATATATATATATATATCACTGTATAACTGTATCACTGTATCACTGTCGTCCCATTGTTCATTGATTTGCTTGAGTGGGTGCCAGTAATGTCTCCATTCATCCCAGTCCTGAGATTTTAGCATCCTCTCCTTACTTGTCCTTCTCAATGCTGCTGTATTGGAGTCTCTTTCAGGGTCAGGAGAATGAGGCCCGTTATTGTTACTGTTTTTGGCATATCGAATACGCCATGGGTAGCTTGCCAGGCTCTGCCATTATATATATATGTATATATGTATATATATGTATATATGTTATATATATACCTTTTTGTTGCTGTTTTTCGGGTCATACCCAGCAGTGCTCAGGGATTACTCCTGGCTCTGCACTCAAGAATCCCTCCTTGCAGTTCTCAGGACCCATATGGGATGCCAGAGATTGAACCCGAGTTGGCTGCATGCAAGGCAAACACTCAACCTGCTGTACTATCTGGTCCCTACATACGCAATTTTTGTTTCCCCAAAACTTTATGGGAAATTAAATTTGAGCATAATGTGATATTTACATGTTACACAATAGAATTTTGTAAAACCTATTCTTAGCTCTCAGATTATACACAGATGGACAGGCAGTTAGATTGGATCTGCAGGCTATGGTTTGCTGACCCTGGCTGGAGTGTGTTTTGACACCTTGGGAATGCATATAGAAGTACAGGGAAATGGTGATTACTAAGAGGTAGCTAGAAATGCAATGAGCATCTGTAGTAAGTAGGAAATTTCTTGTAATTAGAGGGCTTGAGTATGGGTCTGATAATTAACTCTCTGGCAAGGGCTGCTCTAAAACATGCATATTTAGTACAAATCATAGTAGAATTTCCCCCTAAGTCTATTGGGATGTTGAAATCTGGATGACATATGACTTCTTTAAAATTATAGCTGCTTTCTCTTTACAATAGCCAGAAACTGGAAGAAACCTGAATGCCCAAGAACAGATGACTGGTTAAAGAAACTTTGGTACATCTACACAATGGAGTACTATGTAGCTGTTAGAAAAGATGAAGTCATGAAATTTACATACAAGTGGTACAATATGGAAAGTATCATGCTAAGCGAAATGAGTCAGAAAGAGAGGGATAGACCTAAAAATATTGCATTCATCTGGGGGACATAATGTAAAAAAATAGGAGATTAATACCCAAGAAAAGCCGAGATCAGTACCAGGAGGTTCACTCCATGGCTTAGAGGCCAGCCGGGCATCCTAGGGGAAAGGGCAGCTCAGATAGAGAAGGGAGCACCAAATAAAGGGTGTTTGGAGGATCCTCCCAGGAGGGGAGATGCATGTCGAAAGTAGACTATGGACTGAACATGTTTGCCACTCAATGCCTCTTTTGCAGACCACAACACCCAAAAGGAGAGAGAGAACACAGGGGATTGTGCCCTGCCACAGAGGCAGGGGGGGGGAAAGGGGGATGGGGGTGGGGGGATATTATCCATGGTGGTGGAAAATGGGCACTGGTGGAGGGATAGGTATCTGATCATTGTATAATCGAAACCCAAGCACAAAAAATTGTAAATCTACAACTGTACCTCATGGTGTTTCACTAATAAAAAAAATTATAGCTGCTTTGTAGAGGGAGGAAGAATTGCTTTCCATTGTTCAGCACTTTATCCTCAGCCCCCTTATGGGTGGCGTACCATCTTCATTGCCTAAGCAATTTTGCCAAAAACTGGAGCATGAGAGACAGTACAGAGGGTAAGGTGTTTGCCTTGTGTGTGGCTGACCTCAGATTCAATTCCCAGTACCACATAAAGTCTCCTGAGCACCATGAGAAGTAATGCCTGAGCTCTGCCACACAGGTAACCCCAAAACAAACAAACAAAAAAAACAAAGAAATTTTGCTGAGGGTTCAGGGGAACCAGGGCTGTGAGTTTATGGGGTAGTCAGGTACATCTGGTTATGTACAGCTTTGGGGAGACAAAAGTGAGAGTATCTGAGGCCTCCATCCTCTGAGAGAGGACATGCCACTGGTCCAAACCCACCTTATTCTCTCATCAAGTCCCCCTTCTCTTCTAAGGACACAGTGGCCAGGTGGGGAAGCTTCCTCTCTGGTAAGTTCTTTCTGTAATTCTACCATGCCTCATTCCAGAGGTCAGCTCCAACATATTTCCCTCCAGACAAATGGGGGAACCATTGCTCAGATAGTTCTGAGTCTCTGGCATCAACATCAAATTCAAGTCTCGGGGGCTGAGATCTGAAGGCATGACTTCACAGGTGCTGAATGTCCAGCCTGTGACAGCTGGGTTTGAGTTATGATTGTCAACTGTGTGTGTGATTCTTTTTTTCTCTCTTGCCTGAAATCTGTCCATTTACATTTCAATCAGCCTCACTGCCAAAATAAACAAAAACAAAACAGCCCTTTCATATACAAGAGAAGCAGAGAGTTCTAGATAGAAGCAAAGTTTTCATGCCTTTATCCAAACCCCCCAACCTGCATTCTCCACAGTAAGTTTTCTTTGTATCTTTACAGAGCACAGAAGGCTGAAATGGCTTGGTTTGGGGAAATGAATATTTTTTATTGTTATTGAAGCAATGTGGTCACAAGATTGTTCATGTTTATGCTTGGGTGTACAAAATTACCGTACCTCTTCCAACACTAAATTGCCCAAGATCCTCTACCTCTGTCCTGATATCATTTCCAGTCTGCCTCTTTTGCTGCTTTCAAGTCCTCCTCCCCCCATTACTTGGTAAGCTCAGTTTTGTTGTCAAAGTCAAAGGACCTGTTTTCATCAGTGCTGTCCATTCTCATGCTTTGTTTCTCTACATACCACATATGAGTGAGGTCATTTGGCTTGTGTCCATCTCCTTCTGATTTATTTCACTTTACTTGACTCCATTTAGTTCCAAGGTGCAGCAAAAGGCATGAGTTCATCTTTATTTTATAAGAGTGATTTTCCATTCATTGTGGGCTTAGGCCACAATTTCTTTATCCACTGAACTGTTGTTGGGCATTTGTGCTATTTCCGGATTTTGGCTATTGTAAACAGTGCTTCCGTGAGCATAGGTGTGCACAATCTTTTTCAGTCAATGCTTCTGTGGTGTTGGGATTGATGTTTCACAGGAGAATTGTTGGGTCATATGGAAGCTCTGTTTTGAATTTTTGGAGAAATATCCATACAGTTTTCTGTCAAGGCCGAATAAGATACCACCAATAGATTTGCCGGGACATACATAGAAGTGGACATGGTGTAGTTAACGCTCAATTGCCCATCACTGGCTTTAACAGCAGCCACCTCTTGACCAGCCTTGTGTCATCTGTCCCCTCTTCATGCTTTAGTGATTTTTTTGTAGGAGTACTGCTATTTATTCAGCCACCGATTAGCTGATTGAATTGGGCATGAACTCCACCTTAATTTTTTAAATTTATTTTTATTTTCTTTTTATATTTATTTATTGAATCACTGTGTGAAAAGTTACTAAGCTTTCAGGTTTAAGTCTCAGTCATACAATGATCAAACACCTTTCCCTTCACCAGTACTCATTTTTCACCACCAAGAACCCCAGTATACCCCCACTCCCAACCCTCCCAATGCCTGTGAGGCAGATGATTTCTACTTAACTCTTCCCTACATTGATTACATTCATTATTTCGACAAAAGTGCACCATTATTGTTTAGGATTTTCCCCCAAACAATCAGAATTGCTGAAAAGACAATGTGAAATATTTTGTTTTCTATAGCTGGTTATGAGAATCATATAATGTCACGCGGCCACGATTTTGGATTTCTGCAAAGAGCCAGATAATTACAAGATTGGTTTCTGTGTGTCTAGTGTTATGACTGGAGAGCCGCTCGTGGGGGGTAACTCGTGACCTCGGTAGGGCATGAAGGACGAGCCGATACCGCCCCCCTTCCCATGAGACTGCAGTTGCCTCGTCACCACCGGCTCATACCTAGCTTTCCTATAAGCTCTGAGGTGGCGGCCACCTTGCTGCCAGGGGGAAAAAAGGCGGAAGGGAGCAACACCCTTTCCCTCTCGGGGAGGCATGGCGCCATCGTTTAATGTATGGTCCATTCACTTTTCTTCTGCAAGCTGCTGGGCTCTGGACTAAGTCCTTTTGCCTCTGGATCCATAGCCATGCCAGAGAGCTGCTTGTGGGGGGCAACTCATGACCTCAGTAGGGTGAGCTTTAGTGATTTTAAATCAATTCTATAGGAAACTTTGGACAAGGCCTATTGATTCTCCTTTGTACTCACATCATACTTTTGTTTTTTTCTCAGATCATTGCCTTTGATGAGTTAAGGACGGATTTCAAGAGCCCCATAGACCAGTGCAACCCTGTTCATGCGGTAAGTAGTGTCTGCTGGCTACAGCAAAGCTGTGTCACTCCAGGCCACCCAAAGTACACTGTGAGGAGGAGGAGGAGGAGGAGGAGGATGTGGCACATGACCAGTCCTGACTGTTTCCCCGATCCTGGTCCAGGTCTTTGAGCAGCTTTGGAGAACCCTTGCTCTCAACACTTTCTGAGGTCTCCATTTGTCTTCCAAGCCAGATGACTGTCTCAGATCCCCAGGGTGCAGGCTGTGTGCTACTTATTAATTCTTCAGGCTCTGTGCTAGCGAGCAAGGAGGCATGCTTCCTGCGGGCCTGGATTGAGAGCAGTGTCCTTGCATGGCAGCAAATTTTGGTATGCCTGCAGCGTCATTGGAAGACAAATCTCATCACCCCCCCATTCATCACCCACAAAGCTTCTTTGCAAGGGACTCTGTGGGCCTGATGGCAGCTGGCCTCCCACCCCACCCCCCGCCACCCCCGGGAACCTGTTGCTGCTGGTTTCTCAGGTTTGAGTGCTCACCAGAAAGACTGGCTCATCTAGTACCTGCTACTTCGAGTTCTGCTCCTGTTGGCTGGCGGGGCCACACATGCTGTCCCCCAGCCTTGGCCTGGGTATAGAAAGGGGCTCAGATGCAGGGACAGGAGGAGTTGCCTTTCTTTCCACTCCTGCAGTTAGTGGAGACCTTGTCTCCAAGTCAAGACCTTGTCTCTGACTTACTCCAGGCCAGCTCTGACCTTCAGGAAGGGTTTTCCCACAAGCCATTTGAGAGTTGTCTCCACCCAAATGCCTCTGTCCGGTGCTTGGTTGAAGCACCTTTCAGTCCATGGTTTCTAGTGCCAAGGTCTGCGATGCTTAGATTTTCACTTTATTATGTATTTATTTGTGTGGGAGGAGCCCGGGGGGTGGTGGAGGAGCGCAGGGATTCTCAAGCAGTTCTCAGGAGGCCCAGGACCTGATGGTGACTCTCAGTCAGCCAGTCCTGTAGGGCAGCGCAAGGCCCAAAGGTGCCATGTTTGCTCCAGTTCTTCAGTGCCAGGGGTACCCGGGCCACCCTGGCCGCCATGCTCCAGGGATGCACCTGGCAATGCTCAGGGAATCATTTGGTGCTGGGAATCGAACCCAGTTTGGGCACATGCTAGACACGCATACCTCTTCACTGCTGGACTGTGTCCTGGTCCCCACATTTGTGTTTCTCTGTGGCTGATTTTGGTCAGGAATTGGAGAGAGAATGGAGGAGTACCAGGAGTGACTGCAGGTGGCCCTGGAAAGCTGATGGTCTCATGCTTCAGTATGTGGATGAGGGTGCTTGTGCCCTCAGCTGCAGGAAGATCAGGTGCCGAGAGGCTGAGGGAAGTGCCACTCACCATTCAATGGCAGCGGATTTTCATGTCCCTTCCGAAGAGGCTTAGTTTTGGAGTTTTGGAGTTATAGTTCGTTGGTGGTTTTTTTTTTTTTTTAAGTTCCTGTATGCTAGGAACTTTGTATATTTAGCTTCTATAATTCTCACAAGCCTGCTGGGTGACAGGCACTATTTACCTAATTTATAGACTCTGATCTCAGGACTCAGAGCGTGTGAGAGGTGAGGTGAAGCTTGGAACCCAGCTCTGGCCACACCCAATCACAGCTTCGTTCACCAGAGCCTACTCTGGGTTGTCTCCAAGAGACGTGGTTTCCTGCTGCCTGATTTTTCTCATCCCTTTGGCATGGCACTCTCGGAGGCTGTGAGAAAGAGCCAGAACTCTCTCAAAGTCAGCTGTGTAAAGGAGAATTTCCTTGCAAGTTGGACACATTCCTCACTAAGCTTGAAGCCTATACTCAGGTTGGAGGAATGTTATTAAAAATCCTCTTATTTCTGCCTGTCAGCCTTGCCATATAATGGTGAAAACTTGATTCCACCAGGCCTGAAGAGTTTTCCCCCGGAATTTCTTTTTCACTTCTTTGTTTTCCTGGGAAGCCCAGGGGTCCCTATATGTTGCTGGGGATCGAACCCAGGTCAGCTGTGTGTGAGGCATCTTACCCACTGTTCTATCACCATAGACCCTCACAATCTCATTTCTTGCTGGATGCTTTGGCACTTGCCACCAATGACGCACACCAAGAGCGACAATGCACATTCAGTGCTCAACTTGGCTTTGCCCCAGGAGAACACTTGTGTCTTGGGATGCCAAGGGAGCTGAGCCTCCCATTTCCTTCCTCCTCGCTGTTTGGATTCAGCTCAGTATGAAGCACAGCAGGAGCACCCTGAGTCTTCTCGTGGGGTCCCAGGTGATGATGAGATTCCTGCTGCTGCCCAACTCCATTACAGACACTTGACAGTGGGCTGCAGGTGCTTCCTGAAACCCTGAGACATTTACTTGTGGATCAGTTTCCTACCTCGACACGGCAGATTCCTGAGTCTGCAAGCAAAGGAAATCGGTCCCGCACCAGCTCCACAGGCAACATTGGCAGCCGATCTGTGCACACAGCAGGCACTCAGGAACTACTTGATGATAAAAGAGAGAATGGATGCTACGGAAGGGGAGGTTGGGTAGCATCGAAGCTGGATCTCAACTCTATTCCTGTTGTTAAAGCTACATTTCTATTTAGTCTATGACGGAAAAAAGGAACCGGAAATCTTGTGGCTCAGTGGAGGTCCCCAGGGAAAGAGAACTCCTGCCTAGTTTTTTTTTAAAAAAAAAAAAACACTGCAAAAATGCTGCATGGGGGGAGTTGTGGATGTGTTTTCCTACTTTAAAAACATTTATTTTGGGCCACACCTGGCGATGCTCAGGGTTTATTCCTGGCTCTTCACTCAGGGATCACTCCTGGCGGTGCTCAGGGAACCGTATGGGGTGCTTGAGCTTTGAACCCAGGCTGGCCGTATGCAAGGCAAACACACTACCCACTCTGTACTATGGCTCCAGCCCCAACATTTTCCTATTATTTTAGGATATTACTTTCCTAGTTTTTGGATACCTCATTTGATTCATTTTCAAGCTCTTTTATCATCCATAATAGAGTCTCTGAGGCAGCAATTCAGGATCAGAGAATTGAAAAAGCTACTTCTCTGGCTGGTAACTCTGCCATGGAACAATTTTAAAATCATTGCTGCCTATCTGATGCATTTCTCAATGGTCTGGTGCATTTCTAAAGGCATGGGGCCCACTGGGTTTAAGATCTGTTCACTCCAAATACTGTGAGATTCTCTGAATGAATTCCTTTTCAGGAGGTGAAAAGGAAAAGGAATACCAGGTTTTTACATTATTTCTACTGTTGACATTTCTCTTCCTTTACCAGCTGGACATTCAACATCATCTTATTAGTTTTCAGCTTAATTTAATTTTTATTTTCTTTCTAGCACAGCGGGTAGGGCGTTTGCCTTACATGCCTACCCGGGTTTGATTCCTCTGTCCCTCTCGGAGAGCCCGGCAAGCTACCGAGAGTATCCCGCCCACATGGCAGAGCCTGGCAAGCTCCCTGTGGCATATTTGATATGCCAAAAACAGTAACAACAAGTTTCACAATGGAGATGTTATTAGTGCCCTCTCAAGCAAATCGATGAACAATGGGAGGACAGTGCTACAGTGCTTTTTTTTTTTTTTTGTGGGGAGGGCTTGGGACCACACCTAGTGCTCAGGAGTGCAGTTCCTGGCTCTGTTGTCAGGAGTGACCCCTGGCAGTGCGTGGCGGATTATACGGGGTGCTGAGGATTAAACAGGATTGCCCAAGAATAAGGCAAGCGGCTTAGTGCCTGTATTATCTATTCAGCCCACTTTAAGGCCATGAGACAGTTGTTCTTCAGAGCATGCGCTTGCTGGAAAGGCGGCTTGTGTATCCTGCACCATCCTCTTTCATGTCTGCCCCCTCTGTTTGCCTCTTTCGTTCCATTCAGACTCCTTGATGACCAGCTCAAATAAGCACGTGCATGTCTGTGAGAACGTGTGCACGTGTGCCTTGCAGGCTGTGGTTTTGTTTTCCCAGCCACCTGGACACTAATTTGTCCTGATGTGGGCTCTTTCCTCTGGGCAGAAAGGATGCAGAGGAATCACTGTACTTACAATGCAATTAGGGAAACTGAAGCATCCCCGCCACCTGTTTTCCTGGGCTCTCATTACCATCACGTCCACGGCAGCCCGACTGCCTGAATAATGAAGCTCAGGGAGGTGCCACAGCTGCGCTCAGAGCAGACACTGCTCGAAGGAGAGGCAGCACTCAGGGAGGGAAATGTTGTCACCTGCCCAATCACAGTCTTCTTCCCCCAGCTGAGATGCACACCCCAGCATGGCTCTTAGGTTAGGGCGAGTCTGAGAGCACTTTAGAAGAACACATCCAGGCAGAGAATGACCCATCTTTCACATGGACAGGACTCATGCTCTTTAGGACCCCAGTGAGAAGTGATGTGGCAGCTCAGAGACATTCAGGCTGTGGTGCTCATTCTGCGGTGTGATCCTGGGTCTTCCAGTACCCAGAAACTCAGAGAAGCTTTGCCTGCAGAAAAAAGAGCACAGAAATCTCTGTTGGGCAGAAAGGGACGCTGTGTTCATACCGTTTGCTTGGACAGTTCTGTTGAGAGCAAATGATCAGGGGCCTAGCAAGATGGTACTGTGGGTAGGGCACTAACCTAGTACACAGGCACGTAGCACCCCAGATAGTTTTCCCTGAGTGCAGAGTACAGAGCAAGGAAAAAGCCCCAAGTTACTGCCAAGTATGGTGCAAAAAAAATTTTTTTTTAAAAAGGAATAAATGATCAGGATAAGTCAGGGGGAAGTTGACCAGAAATCTTTGCTAGCTAGCAGGAGCCCCAGGGTCAGAGCATGGAAGCACGGCGCGGGGGTGGGGGGTGCGTAAGTGGGGGTAATCTTTGGTGGTTCAGGACTGAGTTTGGTGGCTTTTCAAATTCTCTCTGCAGTATCTCTGACTTCTCTTTCTTTCTTGTTTGTCCTGATAGAGGGAACGACTGAGGAACATTGAACGCATCTGCTTCCTACTGCGAAAGGTCAGTGCGTGAGCCCTGTACTGGAGCCGCTGGCCTCATGGTTCTGGTAGTCACCCAGTGTGCAGGACTGGCTGGAGGTGGAGGGACAGGCCTGTCAGTGGGGGAGGGAGGTGGGGACAGGCCATCAGTCCTGGGGAAACCTCCAGAGGCAAGAAGAGCTAATTAAAAGGGGTGGCCATCAATCAAAGTGTCAGGCCAGCACCTGTATTTGCAAGTGCCCTCTGGTTAGGTTTAGAGGTTCTTTATCTGTGCATGATGATGGATGACATTTACAGCCGATCTTGCCTCAGCGCCTTTGTTCCTCTCTGGGAATTGGGCTCAGAAATGGCCCCCGTCCAACTCAGGGGAAGTTTCTAACCGGAGGCCCGGTTTCTTTTGAGGCTTCAGCCTGCCACTCAGTTTTGCAAATTGATAGACAGCATCATTGAGAGTGTCAGGAGGGGTGGGACGGGTTGATGTTATTAAAGGGGGAGACTGGCATTCAGAAAGATACTCAAGATGGACAGGCAGTAGATCGCAGCTGCCCGAGTAGTGTTCAGACAGCCCTCACTTGCATACTTAAGCATGCATGTGCGTGGTATTTAGCATGCTTGGTGTTCAGTGCAACGTTGTGCCTGAGCTGGGGACCCAGAGAAAGCAAGCCTGCCACTCTCTGGTCAGGAAATGGTTGCGGCAAGGGGTAGAGAACAGAAGCTTGCTGGTAGAGTTAGTGCTGTCCATTGCTTTGAGCCAGAGGACTAACCCAACGTCTGTACAGGGCAGATGAACTCCAGAACAGATGAACAGAGGCCACTTGTCAACTCCAGAGGAGTTTTTGAGCCTTCTGTGAATAGCAGAGAAAACAAATGACATGCCCATATTGATAGAAGGTGCATGATTTTGCCAGGTTTAACATTTCCTGCCCCCACACCCTACTTTCCAGTAATGATACCTTTCACTTGGAAAGAGCTTCATCAAGAATTCAGTTATTTCCTTAGCTAATTTCTGTGATTTCATGTTTTCCAAGAAAATCGTATCTTATAGATCACATCAGGGAAGTATGCTCAGATAATGAAAACACTAGTGAACTGAGGAGTAAAGAGGAAAGGACTAAAGAATAAGATGCCAGGAATAATGATTGAGAAAATGATAAACATTTAGTAACTGGGACTCAGCAAGGAGTAGAAAACAGCTTGCAGGTGAAGTTAGTGGTGTCCACTGTCTTGAGCCAGAAGACGAGCCTGCAGATAGTTCATAAATCTGTAAATCCTTTCTGCAGATCATTTTGCAATAACCTGCCTCAGCTGACTTCCATAGTCTTCTGGCTTGTTATGGTTTGCTCCAAGCACTGGTAGAGAATGAAGACTAAATCAAAGATTGGCCTTTTAAATATTCAGTTACCTCTTCCCCACATTTTGAAAGTACCATCCCGAATTTTCTGGCAGTCATAATCTTACCCTGTTGCGTCTCTTACTTCCTCATAACTCTGTATTTCTTGACCATTGATGGGCCAGCAGGCAATATCGCATGTCTGCCTCTGTCAGGGTCTTATTCCCACAGCTGCAGACCTTCACAAGGTCAAAGTCAAGGATATGAAAGTACTGTAGGCTATGCAAGTCTTCCTATTATCATTTAAATATTTGCATATAGTTTGCATAAATTTCTATAAACAGTCAGGGGAGCCATTTTACTTCAGGAAACAGTGTATTCAAGTACCTTCTTTGTTTTGTTTCTTGCCCTTTTTATTTACCAGCCTTCTCTTCCCTGAAGTTCACTGCAATCACACTTCTTTGTGGTGGGAAATAGCTGAGAGGAAAGCTAAAGGGGAATAGCAGAGGGTCAGAAACACTGATTTCAAGACTTCAGGTGTTTGGTGGGGGACCTGGGAATTAGGTCACAGCCAGTAGTGCTCTGGCCTTACTCCTAGCTCTGTGCTCAGGGATCACTCCTGATGGGCTCAGGGGTCCGTATGAAGCGCTAGATATTAAACCTAGGTTAGCCACATGCAAAGCAAATGCTCTACTCTGTACTACCACTCCAGCCTCCAAGACTTTAAGTGTTTGGATTAACTGTGATTAACCACGTTTTGCAGTATTACCACTTTCTGTCTTCTGGGGATGAAGATGGGGGGGGGGGGGATTGGCAAGTATCCCTTGGTTGATTTGAAGCAGAAGCAAGCCCTGCATGCCTGTAGCTTAATCTCCTGTGACCTCCTCCCTCTCCACACCTTTGCCTACAAGCACATCCTTTCTTTCGAAGGATTCTGACTTCGAAGATTCTTTACCTGACTTCGAAGATTCTTTACCTGTGCATCTGTGTGCCCTGAATGCTTGAGGCTATTTCCGTTGCTGTCAGTATGATTTCTTCTGATGGTGATTTTTAAATTGTGGATGTTTCTGATTGTCTGATCTTTGATGAGGATCTTAACATGCTGACATTTTTTGTTTTAGTTTCATTTGTGGACTCTGGATAATATCACAGATAACATTTAGGGAAGTAGGTCTGTCTACCTTACTCAGATGAAGTTCTGAAAGGGCCACTTTGTTCTCTTCATGGAGGTTCTCAATAAACATTTATTCAGCATATTAACAAGTATTAATTTTCTGGCACTTCTGTGATCAAAATCCTTATTGGAAACATTGAGATAATCAATGTTCTTCATTTTTTCACTTTCATAATGCCTATGTTTTGTTATTAGAACAAAACATATATTCTACAACACTTAACTCCTTACATCACGTTTGTGTTTCATAATCAAATTATATTGTATTCAATTCAATCAAATTCACATATATTGTTGCAGGTGATGTACACAACATGGGGAAAAGGGAGATCATAGCTCTGTGCTTTCCTCTTGCCCATCTTGGTCACTTGGGGAAGTGCCTGGAATGGGGTCAGGCCTGATAGCATCTACCATGAGCACCTGTGCAGCATGTCCCTCCAGATTCACTTAGTAACTGTCAGATTGTGCCTGAGTCCCACTTGCTCTACACAATGTGGGAAATTATCTCCACCATTAGATTCCTCTCATACTCAGGCTGGTGTGAGGAATTGCTCTTTTCAGGGAAAGGAAAATAGTCCTAACCTCTGCCCAGGTACTTTACAGGCCTGTCACTTTTTCTCGGAGAAAAGGATTTCAGGATGAGATGAACAGTGAAGTAAACCAATTCTATTTAGAGATTATGAGGAAGGGAAGACAGAATAGTGCATTCAAGAAAGAACAGTGGCTGCTTCAGAGTGGAAAGACCCCTGAATGATTTTTGGGATGGGGTTATGTATGGATATTCTTTAGATTTCCTTGGCCTGGAGTTTTCTGTAGAATACGAGTTAATCAGGTATCATAGAGGAAGGGCTTTGAACTTTTAGGTGTCTACCTTCATGTTATTATAAGATCCTTTCTTTTATTTATTTTTTTTTTTTGCTTTTTTGGTCACACCCAGAAATACTCAGGGGTGACTTCTGGCTCTGCACTCAGGAATCACTCCTTGCAGTGATGGGGGGACCATATGGGGTGCTGGGAATCGAACCCAGGTTGGCTGCGTGCAAGGCAAACGGTCTACCTGCTGTGCTATCACTCCAGCCCTACATCCTTTTGTTCTTTCTGGAACTTCTACTAACTGGAGGGGGTACAGTCTTCTCTGTGTTGGTTCTGATACCAGTTGGAGTCTTTTTTTTTTCTTTTTTGCTTTTTGGGTCACACCTGGTGGTGCTAAGTGTTTACTCCCTGTTCTGCACTAAGAAATTACTCCTGGATGTGCTCAGAGCACCATATAGGATGCCAATGATCAAACCCTGATAGGCAAACACATGCAAGGCAAACACCCTACCCACTGTACTATTGCTCTGACAAGTTACAGTCTTGTCGGCTTCAATTCCCATATCCAAAAAATGGGGTCAACCTTCATGCTTTCCTGGCTACTTTAAGGGTGCTGGCTAGTGACAGAAACTAACTTCTTCGAAACACTTTTTGATTTTATTGCTTTCTCAGAACTCATTGCCTGCATTGCCTATCCCCATTGGCTGCCTGCATCAATATCATATTTTCATATGATGATGGAGTCAGAGGTGCTCTGACATTCACTTTCTCCTTCCACATCCTTCTATTCCTTTTCTGTATTATGCCATCTGTTCCCTTTGGAGTCAGTATTATACCTTCACCAATTCCTTCTCCCAGCCAATTCTGCTTCTTTCAACTGAGAGGCAGTGTAGGGGTGGTGGTGAAGTATGTAGGCATCTGGAACCTTCAATTTGTGGACCCCTCTCCAAGACTCTGAAGTGAGCCCTAATAACAGCACTTTCTCACTGAGTTGTGAGGATGAATTGAGAGAATGTCTCTCATGTAGAGGTAGAGATGACATTTTGATAGTCAACGTCAGTGCTAACATCCATCATGTGTAATTTAAATTTTTATCCTGATTCTTAGCTCATGACCCTTTTGACATCCCCAAGCACACACTTGGGGCTAAAGCAAAAATGAGGTGCTCCGGGGCTGGTGGCACCCTCTAGGTCACCCTTCTCCTCCCTACTTTCTTAGGAAAGTGCCCTTGACTAGAGCTACCACAAGGCCTGGTGACTTGAATCTCCTCTCTCCCATCTCCATCCTTCTCAATGGACTTTTGAGTTCATATTTCCAAGCTCTTGGTGATGGTGGGAGGGTTCATAGGGTCTCATTTTTATCAGCACCTTTGTGGGAACTGCACCTTCCAAGAAATTTCTTGGAATTCATCTCCTAAACACCCCAGAATGTGATGCATCTTAGCAGCTGATTGTTGTTAAACCACCTCCTCAACTCTCCTGGGAGAAAGAAGAAAGTGGATTCATTTTCAGCTCTGTAATTATTAGAAAATGCATTTTTTTGGTAATTGTCTGAACTGCAGAATTCTTATGTTGACATGTGCTTATGAGTCATTTTTCTTGACAAAAGCTACTTGCTTCCTGTTCTAGTCTTCTCTTTTCCCCTCCTTCACCCCCCACCCCCAGCATGCTGTGGGCTTTGTGGGTCACTGTAGAGTAGAATGGGG